GTACCGGTTCTGTCTCTGCTGTTTCTGGAGGCGCTGTGCGGCCGCGGCCGAACTACGTTCCGCTTCTTCAGCAGGTTCTTGGCTCCCCGCCTTCTCCTGGTCTTCCTCCTCCTTCCCTGCGTCCACCGCCTGTCCCGTCTCAGTCGTAGTTACAGCCGGCCTCTCCACTTCCTGGTCCTTCTCCTTACTCTGGACCGACTAGAGGTCTTACGGAGCGTCGTGAGCATGAGTCGCGTCCTATGTCGCCTGTGTCTCGTTCTACGTCGCCTCTCCGTTCTGTTCGCGCTGGTCGTGTTTCGCGTCCGCGTCCTCCTCCTGTCCCAGGCACTCACTTTATGACTCTGCGTCCTTCCACTGCTCCACAGCGTGTCCCTCTGCCCTCTCCTCCTGCGTCCTCTCATCCAGCCGGTCCGGACCCGGAGTCTGACTCCCTCCGTGCTGCTCGTCCAGCTGTCACGCGTTTTCTGGCCACTGCTGTCACTGACCTTTTGTTTGAGTCCACTGCTGCGTCTACTCTCGTTGCTGAGCTTGTTGACTTTGCTGCTGCCTGTCGCCTAGACTTCGCCACTAGTCTTGTTGCTGAGTCTGCGTCTGCGTCTGTCTGTCCTCCGTCCGTCGGGGGTGAGTGTGCTCTTGGCACGGACGTTCTTGAGGACAGACAGGAGGAGTTTGAGTGCTTTGCTGCTTCTGTACCTCATCTCGTGTCCATGCTGCTTGCCCCTGAGGGAGACCCGGATCCACCAGACATCCCGACCCCGCGCTCTTACGCAGAGGCGATAGAGGGTCCCTACTCCTCTCAGTGGCAGGCAGCCATGAACGCCGAGATGGCTTCCTGGAAGTCCACACGCACCTACGTCGACGAGGTTCCCCCGCCTGGGGCGAACATCGTCAGTGGCATGTGGATCTTCAGGGTGAAGCGGCCGCCGGGTTCTCCGCCTGTCTTCAAGGCGCGTTACGTTGCACGTGGCTTCAGTCAGCGACAGGGAGTTGACTTCTTCCAGACCTTCTCCCCTACCCCGAAGATGACCACTCTTCGGGTACTGCTGCACGTAGCTGCTCAGCGTGACTACGAGGTCCACTCGCTTGACTTCAGCACAGCCTTCCTACAGGGCAGCCTGCACGAGTAGATCTGGCTGCGCCGCCCACCTGGCTTCACTGGGTCGTTTCCAGCTGGTACCCAGTGGAGCCTCCGGCGGCCAGTCTACGGTCTCCGCCAGGCACCTCGTGAGTGGCACGACACACTCAGGACAACTCTTGCTGCTCTTGGTTTTGCTCCTTCCACTTCTGACCCTTCTCTGTTCTTACGCACTGACACCACTCTACCGCTGTTCTACGTTCTCGTGTACGTAGACGACCTCGTCTTTGCTACTGCTGACACTGAGGCACTCGCCCACGTAAAGTCAGAGCTGCAGAAGAGACACACGTGCACAGACCTGGGTGAGCTGACAAGCTATCTTGGCTTGCGGATCACCCGGGACAGAGCACAGCGCACCATTACCTTGACTCAGTCACACATGGTGCAGCAGGTCCTTCAGCGCTTCGGCTTCACGTACTCCTCGCCACAGTCCACTCCTCTGCCTACCGGTCACTCGCTCTCAGCTCCACCTTCGGACGAGTCCGTAGAGCCGAGTGGCCCGTATCCAGAGCTTGTGGGCTGCCTCATGTACCTGATGACTTGCACACGACCTGACCTCGCATACCCTCTCAGCCTTCTGGCTCGCTACGTGGCTCCCGGCAGGCACCAAAAGGTGCACTGGGATGCTGCGAAGAGGGTGTTGCGATACTTGTGCAGTACATCGGGCATGGGGCTCGTGCTTGGAGGACGGGCTCGAGTTGTCCTCACTGGTCACGCTGACGCCTCCTGGGTTGACGACTTGGCTACGCAGCGGTCGTCACAGGGTTACACCTTCAGTCTTGGCTCCGGTTCTGTCTCTTGGCGGTCTACCCGTTCTTCTTCTATTCTAAGCTCGAGTTGTGAGGCTGAGATCTACGCTGGGGCCATGGCTGCACAGGAGCTACGCTGGCTCACCTACCTTGCTGACCGACTTGGGAGAGGCGCCTCGTTCTCCTCCAGTTCTGTACGTCGACAACAAGGCCATGCTGGCCTTGTGTCAGGAGCACAGATTGGAGCACAGAATGAAGCACATTGCTCTGCGCTACTTCCTTGCTCGAGAGTTGCAGCAGCGTGGCCAGCTTCGTCTTGCTTACGTGGCCTCTCAGGCCAACACTGCGGATATTTTCACCAAGGCACTTCAGCCTTGTGATCATCAGCGTTTCTGTACTGTGTTAGGCCTTGTACCTACTGTGCCTCACTTGCTGACTTCTTGACTCTGCTTGTAATGTACTCTATATACTTATACATGCATGCTTACTCTTGCTAGGTTGTGTTCACTGTATTGTTTGCTTTCCTTTATATAACTCTGCATGTGAACTGGCCTTGTGGCCCTTTGCTTGTGCTCAGACTGCGTGGTGACTTTGTGATCCACCCTGAGCTTGCTTTACCTTCTTGACTGGTCTTGTGACCCCTTGTTCTCCCCCACTTTGCCTATGGGGGTGTGTCAAACTTATATATGCTATAGTCTGTTTAGGCTGTAGTGGGGTAGTCCTTAGAGGGTACAACACTTTTGTGTTTGCTACTTGTACCCCACCTGTTTCCTAGTTCAATCATTTCCTCTCATTATTCTCACATTAGCTGCTTGGATAAATACCCTACTCTGTCATTTCTTAATCAATCCATTCAGTTGCAAAGTTCTCTTGTTATTCTCTTCTACAATCAAGGCTTCTGCTACGACGGCACTATGCCTTTCTAACAGTCCCCACCCACGTTTTCGTTTTCGAAATTGTAGTTCTAATTTCCCACCCGCCCACCCATTTGTGTATGCTGTTATGTAGACCTATATAAGGCGATAACGATGTACTGCAACCCATATGAAATGATAACGCTGCCTTTGCAAGTCAGCCTAAGTAGACTTTCACAATCTAGTTAGAAAGATCTGAAGGCCACTTGTGAGGTTAAAGCTTGAGGAGCACAAAGCACCGTCTTCTGATGTACCGTACATTGATGCATTGAGAAAGCTTGCTTCTATAGCAATTGGCATCGTTCTCATTACAATGGGATCAAGTACAATGTTTCATAGCAATAATACTGATATACTATCAAATACAAAAAAAAAAAAACTACTACTCTCGAATGATGACTACCCTGGGGAGGGAGGGTGGGAATTGAACTTGAGCGATTGTAAAAAATGAGAGACGTGGGTGGGGGAAGAATGAACCCAGCCCACATTATATATTTGGAGAAGGCGAATACCGCGCTTCGACGATGCACAAAATTGCGTTACAGTCAGCTTTGCTTTCACAATACGCAAATTTGAAAGAGATAAACGCTTAGAAATTTTTCATATTTAGTAATTTGTGGTTGACAATTTGCAGCGGCTGGTAACCATCCCAAGCAGAAGGGGCTGTTGGGTCAGTTGAATCGTCACTCGACTCCCCCACGCTGCAGCAGCAGCAGTTGCACACAACCGTCCTCTCATTGATCTGGCGCCCTTGACACTCCCGCCTAACCACCAACCCGTCTCACGCCCGTCCCACGCTAACCGCCGTCGCGTTGGTACCGCGCAGGAGCTGTGCAAGCGATGGGGACCCGGGGAGAGAAGGAGAAGAAGGGAAACGAAGGTCGGGACGACCCTCTTTGGATCTCGACTTATCTCTCATCACATGTCAATCCTTGTGCCGCCGCTGTTGGCCCTCCACCCTCTTATTGCTGCCCCTCCCACGCACTCCCGGGCGCGAGGTTTCGGCCAGCACGGCATTTCATATCGCGTTCTTCAAAAGGAGTTCCAAAGAAGCGCCTTCCTTCTCAGAGTCCGTCGTAGTTCCCGTCCGAGCTACTAGTAGTAGGAACGCACAGAGGTTCGACGTAGTCGACGTTATTTCGTCAAAGCGGCTGATTTTCGCGGGCTTTCAAACGGCTGGCTGCTGTCGTCCTGTTCCTTGGCGATCATGGACCTCCTAGTATCCCCGATACTGCTGACTCCGATAACAGCTCGCAGATTCAATGACAGGGGAGTGAGCCTGAGAGCAACGGGCGTCACGGCGACCGTGGCGGTGGTGGCGTGGTGGATGGCGCTGCTCATGACCGCCACGGTGCTGCCGACCGCCCGCAGCCTCACCGCGCCGCAAGACCGTGAGCCCCCCGTCCAACCCACCGCCCACCCCAAGCCCACCGCCCAGCTCTGAGCTTACCGCCCGTCCAGCTGTTTGCCGCCCCTATGAGATCATCACGTACCTCTCTCTGGTTCTCTCTGGTTCTCTCTGGTTCGCTCTGGTTCTCTCTGGTTCGCTCTGGTTCTCTCTGGTTCGCCCTGGTTCTCTCTGGCTCCCTCTGGTTCTCTCTGGTTCCCTCTGGTTCGCTCTGGTTCTCTCTGGTTCGCTCTGGTTCTCTCTGGTTCGCCCTGGTTCTCTCTGGCTCCCTCTGGTTCTCTCTGGTTCCCTCTGGTTCGCTCTGGTTCTCTCTGGTTCGCTCTGGTTCTCTCTGGTTCCCTCGGTTCTCTCTGGTTCGCTCTGGTTCTCCTCTCGGTGAAACGGTGGCAGTAGCAGCGGTTGAGTGACTGTCGAGTCTTCCCCCACCAAAAACCTTTTTCTTCGATGGCTTGTCTTTAAACGCCATCCCATTTTCTCCTCCCACCACCACTCCCCTCTCCCCTCCCACCATCATCGCTCTCTCTCCTCCCACCCTCACCCCTCTCTCTCCTCCCACCCTCACCCCTCTCTTTTCCCACCACCACCCCTCTATCTCCTCCCGTCCCCGCCCCACCCCCTCCTCCCACCATCACCCCTCTCTCTCTTCCCACGATCACCCCATCGCCCTGACTCCCTCCCTCATTCTTCTCCAACCTTCACCCCACACCGCCCTGCATCACCTGACACCACCCCTCACCATCCCACACCACCCCACACCACCCCGCACCACCCCTCTCCACCCCTCACCACCTCAGTGGCAGCGCTGGTGGAGGTGTGGCGCGGGGTGTACAGCAGCAGTGGGGGCAGCGCGGGCGTGCGCGCGTGGCACCCCTCCATGGACCCTTGCAGCGAGCTCGCGCCCTTCCCTCTGCACTGCATGCCCACCGTGTCCGCCCAGGCCGACCAGCGAATCGTCTCCCTGTGAGCTCTCAGTGTAGCCCCCACTGTGTCATGTCTACGGAAGCACTGTCAACCCCCCATCCCCTTCCCCTTGCACTGCATGCCCACCGTCTCCAGCCAGCCCAACCAGCGAATCGTCTCGCTGTGAGCTCTCGTGATAGCCTCTAACGAGTCTTGTGTCTGCTACAGCACTGTCAGCTCAGCCCTTCCCTGCAACGAGCGCGCGCCCCTCCCCTCGTACTGCATGCCCACCGTCTCCCTGTGAGCCCCCTCTTGCCGTCCCGTGAGTCACCACCTCCCTGTGAGAGCTCTGTGCGCATTAGAGTCGCCTATGATCCCCTCTCCTGTTCTCCCTCTCTCCTCCCATTCTTCCCCCCTTCTCCCTCTCCTCCCCCCAACCATTCCCCTTTCCTCTCATCCCGGCCTCCCCCTATCGCAGCACGCTTGCAGGGCAGGCATTGCGAGGCACACTTAGTGCGGCGGTGGGAAACCTCTCCAACCTGGCAGATTTGTGAGTCTTGGCCACGCCACGCCACTATCGGCTCTCTTGTTGACCCCGCAGACTTGTCGTGAGTCGTCTTGGCCATATTGTTATTTCTTTTTCTCGTGCATGTTGGTTTGCCCCCCATGCCATCATCTTTCACCATTGCACATTGGTGGCGAGTTGTAAGCGACATTGGCGAGTTGTGAGCGACATTGGCGAGTTGTGAGCGACATTGGCGAGTTGTGCGCGAAGTGTCATGGCATAATGTACCCATCACCTCAACGCGTTGTCAGCACTTGTATGTGTTATCCTCATCTCCCATGCAGCCATCGCCTACCCACCATCTCCTTCCTTTCAACACCCCTACCCACTCTTTCCACCTTCCCCGGCATCCCCTCCTCTCCCCAACCCTGTAACCCCTCCAACCTCTTTATGGCAGTACGCTCAACGACACAAGGGTGGGCGGCACTCTGCCTCAATTCCGCAGCTCTACACTGGTTGACCTGTGAGTTGACTGGTTGACCTGTGAGTTGACTGGGTGAGCTGACTGGTTGACCTGTCTGTTGACTGGTTGACCTGTGAGTTGACTGGTTGACCTGTGTGTTGACTGGTTGACCTGTGAGTTGACTGGTTGACCCGGAAGTTGACTAGTTGAGATGTAAATTGAGGCTGACTGACCTATGAATCGATTCGTTGGTATGAGAGTTGCCTGGGTCGTCCTGTGATGCCCATAGGTACTGGGCTTGAATGCAGTTCCAGCTGGTGAGTGGAGTGCAGTATCTGACAGTGCAGTTGGGCGCGAGGGAGTGGAGAGGGGCGCGTGGGAGTGGAGAAGGTGAGCATGCCTCTCGTTATATGTGTGCTCGTGACTTTCCCTGCTGCTCGCGTCTGCCATCTTGTCATCGTCCCTCACCTCTCCTTACCTTCATTTACCCCGCTCCACCTGCCCGTGCCGTCCCTTCACTCCCCACTCCGACTCCTTGCCTCACCATTGCAGCCTGCTCCCTACACTCGCTCGCTCCTGCCTCATCATAGCATTTTAACTGCTCCCTACTCCACACTCACTCTGTGCCTTGCCTTCGCTTCCCGGCAGCTCTATTCTCAACAGCCCTGTTGAAGGCCCCATCCCCTCACTCCTCTTTTGAGAGTTCATTAAAATTCTCACTTCGTGAATCGTGCCATTTGAGGCGCCTCAAAAGTCATCTCACTGAGGCCCCCATCCCCTCACTCCTTTTTTGAGAGTGTTAGAAGTCTCACTTCGTACCTCACCCTGGGTGGCTTCCCGGCAGCTCTATTCTCAACAGCCCTGTTGGAGGCCCCATCCCCTCACTCCTCGCCACGGCACCGACTCTCACCTCACTGTAAACCCTCTCACCGTACTGCAACCCCTCTCAGCTTTCTCTAGTCTTCTCCTCTCCAGCAGCTTTGCATGGAGATTTTAAACCGCTTGACAGACTGCAGTACAGTGCGTTTTTTATATTTATTTTTGGTGTGTATGGCTGCTGAGCGTGTGTGCGTGCGTGCGTGCATCTGTGCCTCCCCCACCCATGCCATGCCCCATGCCATGCCCCAGGGCCATCTCCGGCACGAGGGTCAACGGCAGCATACCAGAGGAGTTGGTCAGCGCCACCAGCACGCTTCAATCACTGTGCGTTGCACCATGCATGCATGCATTTATGGATAGATGGATGGATAGATGGATGGATAGATGGATGGATGGATGGATGGATGGATGGATGGATGGATGGATGGATGGATGGATGGATGGATGGATGGATGGATGGATGGATGGATGGATGGATGGATGGATGGATGGATGGATGGATGGATGGATGAATGGATGGATGGACTGCACATGGAGGGTGGGGTTCAGGGCATGTTGTTTTCACAATACAATCAGTGGACTCTTCGTCGTCCAAGGAAAATGGCGTTCTATTGTAAAATTAGATTTACCCCAATGAGGGTGTTTGATTTCCATGCAATAGAGCATGCAGGTTTATATTTCAACAGCCAACCCTCTTCAGTCTCTTTCAGTCAAAACCATTCTCCCCTCCACTGAACTACCCCTCCCCGTCCCGTGCAATTGCAACCCTCTCGTCGTGCCGGCAGGAATCTGAGAAGCAACAGCCTGGCTGGGTCTCTGCCGTCCTCTCTGTCTGGCTTGACATCGCTCACCACTCTGTAATCCCGTTCAACTCTCTGTAATTCCTCTCACCACTCTGTTGTGCTCACCACCACTCAATAACTCTTCTCACCTCTCTGCAACGCAACCCCTCTCACCCTTCTGCAATGCCGCTATAATCCCCCTTACCGCTCTAGAATGCTGGTGTTCTCCACCCTGATCAACTCTTTGCCTCACCACTTCCCCTTTTCCTATCATGTTCCATGTCTCCTCCTTACACCTTCCCTCCTCGTTCCCCTCTAACACACCATCTCTCCACTCTCCTCTCGTGTTTCCATTCTCGTCGCTTCATTGGGCCATTCTCTTCCCGCATCCCACGCCCCCCCACTTATCGGTGCCCCTCTCTCTCCCCACTGCACAGTGACCTTGCAGGCAATACCCTGTCAGGCCCTCTCCCCTCTCAGCTCATCCGATCAGGCCTCTCTCTCAGGTAAACATTTTTTCCGTCCGTCCTTCTTTTTTCTCGATGGACGGACGGATATTCTTGTTGTAAGCAAGTTTTGCTGTTGTTGCCATTGTCATTATTGCTGGTTTGTATCGCCTTGTAGGAATTCTATTTTTGAGTCGACTCAAAAATCGCCTTGTAGGAATTCTTTGTCGGGGTATTATTTTCCTTTCCTGCTAGTCTCACTTACCCTCACACTCCCAAGTCCATGTCGCCCCACCCCTGTGTCTTGCTTTTCTCCTCCCTCCCAGGCTGTCTCCTGGCAACACTGACCTCTGTATCCCACCTGCTGCTGCTGCAGCTGCTGCTGCTGCTGCCACACCCACCGCCCCCACCCTCCCGCCCAATACGTCCATCTGCCCAGCCTCCCCTCCTCCCCCCGCCGCTGCTCCCCTCCCTCCGCTCGCCTCCAATCTTCCCCCCGCCGCTGTGGCTGTCATAGCAGCAGGGGGTGCTGCGCTGGTGGCGGTGCTGCTGGGTGCGGTGCTGTGGAGAGTGGTGGGGTGGGGGAAGGGGAAGGGGAAAGGCGAGGAGGGGTTGATAGAAGGCGCTGAGGCTGTGCCACGTGCTCGTGAGTATGCATGCACATGGTGTTGGGGGGTATGCATGCACATGGTGTTGGGGGGTATGCTTGTCCGTGATGTGTGGGTATGCATGCATGTGGGTTTGTATGCACATGTGGATGCATGCACGTGAGTGGGCATGTGAGCATGCGTGCACGTTGTTGGGCACGAACCCTCCATCTCTTCCCCACCTCACACTTCCCTCCCCCTCATTACCCCCACTCTCTCTCTCTTCTCGTCCCTCCCCCCTTCTCCTCCCCCCCAATCTCTCCCCCACTCCCCGCTGTGCCACCAGGAGAGGTGGCGGATGGCTTGACGGAGTTCCAGCTGTGGGAGCTGCAGGAAGCAACCGAGAACTTTCACTTCTCGCGCCTCATAGGCCGGGGCGGGTTCGGCCACGTGTACCGAGGAACGCTCTCTGACGGGTATGCTCTCTGACGGGTAGGCTCTCTGACTGGTAGGCTCTCTGACGGGTAGGCTCTCTGATGGGTAGGCTCTCTGACTGGTAGGCTCTCTGACGGGTAGGCTCTCTGATGGGTAGGCTCTCTGACGGGTAGGCTCTCTGACGGGTAGGCTCTCTGACGGGTAGGCTCTCTGATGGGTAGGCTCTCTGACGGGTAGGCTCTCTGACGGGTAGGCTCTCTGACGGGTAGGCTCGGGTAGGCTCTCTGACGGGTATGCTCTCCCCTCTCTCCCCTCTCTGACGGGTACGCTCTCACCTCGCTTTCCCTTGCTCACAATTAATTTCTCGTTGTTTTGAGCTCTCTGCAGTTTTCCGTTGCAGTAAAACTCATCTCCCGTGCATGGCTTTTTCTTGTACTAGTACTTAAGGCATCCTATTTCCCAGAGCAGCGTACAGATTTGAGACGTCTCAGAACACACTGCTTGGGGCTGGCCAAGCGTACCTTCGCCCCACAGAGCACTGGCCACAGTCTCAAATTGTTGCATGGAGCACCCGGGTGGAGGGCAGGGAGAGGCGGAGCACCGAATAGAGATAAGAGGTGATCGGGCACGTGCACCACCGCAACACGTCACGCACTTGCTCTCCCTCACACTCACATTTCTCCTTGCCTTCCCCTCCCCCCATATTCCTCTCAGCTATGAGGTAGCTGTGAAGATGCTAGTTGCAACACCGAGCGGGGGCCAGGGCGAAGCAGAGTATCGGATAGAGATAGAGGTGATAGGCCACGTGCACCACCGCAACTTGGTGCAGCTCGTGGGGTTCTGCTGTGAGGGGGACTCTCGCCTGCTGGCGTACGAGTTTGTCTCTGGTGGCAGCCTGTCGTCTCGACTGAGAGGTGCGTGCTGTACATGCATGCAGGCATGTGGTGAGTGTGTGTGACAGGCACACATGTGTGCAACTTGGTGCAGCTCGTGGGGTTCTGCTGTGAAGGGGACTTGCAGCTGCTGGCATACGAGCTCGTTTCTGGGGACAGCCTCTCATCTCGACTCAGAGTTACATGTGCGCATGCATGCATGTGCTGTGTGGTGTGGTGCGGTGTGGTGTGTGGTGTGCAGAGGTGACCAGTCCAAGGGCTATTGTGTGCGCGTGGCAGTGGGTTCAGCCAAGGGCCTAGTGTACCTGCACGAGCAGTGCGGGCTCCTGGTCTATATCTCAGACATTACATTATCGACCTTCCCCTTTCCTTCCTCTCCCCCACACCCACCCTGCACCGATCAGAAAAGACTAACCCGATGACCTGGGAGCACCGTGTGCGAGTGGCAGTAGGTTCTGCTAAAGGCCTGGCCTACCTGCACGAGCAGTGTGAGCCGCGCATCATCCACCGCGACGTGAAGCCCGCCAACATCCTGCTGGACGCTACCGGGGAGGCCAAGATAGCTGATTTTGGGCTGGCCAAGGTCATGCCTCAAGGAGTCAATGACATGACCACCCGTGTGAGTTGTCCCCTTTCGCCCTCCCCTAGCACCCTTGGCTCTTGACTTGTGTCTTTTGCCTCTTGCCGCGTGTGTCGAGCCAGCAAGCGTGGTGCTAAACGCTGTCGGGGGGGCAGTGGGCGAGTGGGCAGATCGCTGACTTGCACTCCTCGTCTCGTCCCCCACTCCGCTGATTCCCCTCTCAGGTGCTGGGCACGTGGGGCTACGTGGCACCGGAGTACGTAGGCAGTGAGCGGGTGGGAGTGGCAGCAGACGTGTTCAGCTTCGGAGTGGTGCTGCTGGAGCTGCTCTCAGGCCAGTCGCCCCACAACACGGAGGACCTGCTTGAACGGGTGAGACCTGTTTGCGTTGACCTGCGTTGACTTGAGTTGACTTGGGTCGACCAGACTTCATTTATTACGCTGTCAGGCCAGTCATCCCACAACACATAGGACCTGCTCGAGCTGGTGAGAGAGGCCAGAGCTAACCAGGTTGACTTGCGTTGACTTTGCCTTAAGGTGACTTGGTTGACTGGAATTTACTCGCTATGCTCTCAGCCCAGTCGCCCCACAACACAGAGGACCTGCTGGAGCGGATGCGACCTGCGTTGACTTGAGTGGACTTGCGTTGACTTTGGCCTGAGTTTACATGGTGGTCTGGATGTCAGTCGTTTTGCTGTCGAGCCAGATGCCCCACACCAGGACCTGTTGGTGCAGAGGAAAAATGAGCTCACATGATTGACTTGAGGTGATGTGGCGGAGCGGGTGAGACTTGTTGAGTTAACTTGAGTCAGCCAGCGCACCTCTGAACTCTCTTCTCCCCTACCATGTCAACCGTATCTGCATTTCCCACCCTCCAATACCCTTCACCACCGCCACTCCACCCCATGCAGGCCGAGGCGTGCCTCTCAGAGGGAGCTCTGGATACCTTTGCCGACCCGGCGCTACTAGCATCTGGCTTGGACGAGCAGCAGTTCCTGAGGGTGCTGCGCATCGCGCTGCTCTGCCTCGAGTACAACCCCGACCAGCGGCCCCCCATGGCCTCTGTCGTGCGCTTCCTCACCTCCCCGCACGCGCCTCTGCCCGATGAGGACAGCCCGCTAGAGCCCATCTTGGAGGGCTTGGGGGATGGCCCTGGTGGTGGCGGTGGTGGTGGTGGTGGTTATTCCGAGAGCTCTGATACCAGTGGGGGGTTGGAGGACGGGTGTATGGTGGAGGAGGGTTTGGGTGAGGGTGGGAGTTGGTTGAATGGGGGAGGTGGTGAGGGGAAGGAGAAGGGTGATGGAGAGGATGAGTTTGCGTTGGGGGATGGTGGTGGCGGTGCGATGGGGGATGATGTGGAGGTGGTGGTGGATGATATTGATGATGGGCATGAGGGTGATGCGCGTGGGTCGCACGTGGAAGGGCAGGGGACGCTGGCGCTGAACATGGTGCCGTATCATCAGCCGTTCGATATATCACGTATTGACTTGTGATGTTTGTGGGTGAGCTATTTATTTGATACGTCAAACTGATTGTCTTTATATTTTAGCAACTGACTGATTTTCCAGATAATATCTATCCAGGATCATCTGTTGAAGTGTTACCATCTCTGCTTGCTTATCGAATCTGCTCTCAGCACATTGGAAGGGAAATGTTGTGCTATACGATGAGCGAAACAGTCTGTAACGCGACATTCATTCTCTTGTGGCGGCTTTCTGCTGCACCTGATTGAGCCAAAACCCCTTCTGGATTCCCAAATTCGCTTCTGATTTCCTGCCCGCACCCTCTGACGGTGGACGCCGTTGCGCGCTCTCTCGGCTGCACACTTCCACCCATCCGCTCCACCCTCCATCCCGCAGCGCCATCCAGATCCCTTTTGCATTCTCACGTTGCCTCTCGCCATTTCACCCACCATCCTCACCGCCGGCACCAGCAGCACCAGCAGCACCAGCCCGCAGAATCAGCGACAGCAGCAGGCATGAGGGGTCGCTCGCTCGCCTATCTGCGGGCGTCGCTCAACCGCAAGCGCGGCGGCGCGTCGGCGATCTCGTCGATCTCATCGCGTGCCGCCTCCAGCGCCGTCGATCGCGCTCCAGCCAACGCGCTTGCCGCTTCTGCCGCGTCTGTCGCTTCGTCTGACGCGATCTTTGACCCGATCACCCCATCCCCCGCTGCTATCCACCCCCCCGCTACCTCCGCTGCCGCCGCCGCTACCGCCGCCGCCAGCCATGTGCCTTCAGTCGCCGCCGTCGCGCGTAGTCTCCTCCTCCCCGCCCTGTCACCTGCTCCCTCGCCCCGCGAGGCTGCTCCGCTCGCCGCCTCTCAGCTTGGCGCTCGATATAGTCACAGCATGATTCGTCGAGAGTCCGTGTCGTCGTGTACGCCTTATAGTGCGCTCCGATTGAGGAGTCCGTTCCATTCACTAGCCGCAGGCGGAATCTACTCGTCGATTAGTGCAGGTGACGGTAGTATCAGCAGCGACAGCAGCAGCAATGACAGTACCGCCAGCAGCAGCACCGGCAACAGCAGCGGCGGCAGCAGCAGCAGCGGAAGCAGCGGGTACACTCCATTGGAGGATAGCGCGGGCGCGGAAGGCGAGGGGACGGCGCAGGTTGTCGCGGAGGCGTTGGATCCCCCCGCAGCAGCGGAGGGCAGTTTGGGGGAGGAGTTTTCCGCAAGGGCGGAGGGTACAGGGAACGCGCAGGTTCCCGCTGAGGGGGGTGAGGGCGGAACGGTGGAGGCTGGGGGGGGGAGCAGCGGAGGTGGGGGGGCAAATGCGGAAATGCCAGGGTTGCAGAGTGAGTGAAAGGAGGAGTTGTGTGGCATGACATGGGATGGCAGGAATGGGATGAGGTGGGACTGGGTGGGATGGGATGGGATGGTTTGGGATGGGATGGCTTGGGATGGGATGGCTCGAAATGGGATGATGTGGCGTGGGTTTTGGGGAAAACCCCAAAACCCGAATTCCATGCCTTATCCTTCTTCCCCCTGTCCGTCCCCTTCCTTCTTCCTCCCCAGGCATGAGCATGGGCTGGACCAGGGCCGGCCTGCCCCGGCCCAACCCAGGCGGCCTACCGGGTTACTTTTGAGTGGACTCATAAGTCACCCTGGCCTGGCTTACTTGCTGCTGGGGACTGGGCGTGGCCCAAGTCGGGCTGGCCTGGTCAGAATGACGTCCCTCATATTGACCACCATGGGCAGGGAGGAAGGGGGTTGTTCAGGTCGGGAGGGGTTCAGCCGGGTCCGGAGGGGTTTGGCCGGATCGGGCGAAGGGAACTTCAGGGTGACAGGAACCCAAATGAGTTTCACCGGCCAAAGTCTTGCGACCTAGAAGCGACGCCTGCTTCTCAGATCGCACGCGTCATGTATCGGCCCGACACGGGCCGGAAATTGGGCTGGCCTGGTGCAGGCTGACTGCAGCAGCGCCAAGCTGCGGCGGTTTGGGCGGAACACTGGCCCGGCGAACCGGTCCAGGGCTGGGCTGGGCCCCGTGAGGGTCAAGATGCCCTGCCTGTTCTGATTCAGGACACTCGTGAGTCGGGCCGGCGTGGGTCGCGGTGGCCCTGGGCCTGGTCCGTGTTCGTGGCCTTTCCTCCCCGTTCAGCCCTCACCCTTTCCTCCGCTTCTTTCCTTCCCTCCTCCAGCCGTTTTACGGCGGCCATGGCAGCCCTGAAACAACTGCCACGGAAACCGCACCACGTCTGTTGCGTAGGCATGCCAGAGGATTTAACTCAAGCTGCCCTTTTGTCCTGCTTGCCGGGTTTGAGTCAACCCAAGTCAATGTCCCCGTTCGTCCTGCTTCCCCCCTCCAGCGCCGCTGGAACAGCTGTGGCAGCACGTAAGGGAGCTTCCAGACAGCAACCACGCCACGTCATGCCCCTCTCATGGCTTAGGTGTCTCACTCAACTCAGGCAATTCTCTTTCTATCTGCTCCCACCCCCTCCAGCCCCTCTGGAGCAGCTATGGCAGCACATCAAGGAGCTGCCAGACAGCAACCACGCCATGCCCGTTGTGAGGGCGTGGGAGAGCAATGGGAACACCGTTGACATGCGCCTGGCCACACAGGTGAGTAGATATTTGAGTCAACTAAAAAATGGGAACACATGTACACTACACACGCTGACTCACCTGTGTGGCGCACCGTAGACTCACAGGTGAGTCAGCGTGTGGACATTCCACGGAGGTATTGTCATGGGATGGGGGAGCAATGGGATGGGGGAGCAATGGGATGGGGGAGCAATGGGATGGGGGAGCAATGGGATGGGGGAGCAATGGGATGGGGGAGCAATGGGATGGGGGAGCAATGGGATGGGGGAGCAATGGGATGGGGGAGCAATGGGATGGGGGAGCAATGGGATGGGGGAGCAATGGGATGGGGGAGCAATGGGATGGGGGAGCAATGGGATGGGGGAGCAATGGGATGGGGGAGCAATGGGATGGGGGAGCAATGGGATGGGGGAGCAATGGGATGGGGGAGCAATGGGATGGGGGAGCAATGGGATGGGGGAGCAATGGGATGGGGGAGCAATGGGATGGGGGAGCAATGGGATGGGGGAGCAATGGGATGGGGGAGCAATGGGATGGGGGAGCAATGGGATGGGGGAGCAATGGGATGGGGGAGCAATGGGATGGGGGAGCAATGGGATGGGGGAGCAATGGGATGGGGGAGCAATGGGATGGGGGAGCAATGGGATGGGGGAGCAATGGGATGGGGGAGCAATGGGATGGGGGAGCAATGGGATGGGGGAGCAATGGGATGGGGGAGCAATGGGATGGGGGAGCAATGGGATGGGGGAGCAATGGGATGGGGGAGCAATGGGATGGGGGAGCAATGGGATGGGGGAGCAATGGGATGGGGGAGCAATGGGATGGGGGAGCAATGGGATGGGGGAGCAATGGGATGGGGGAGCAATGGGATGGGGGAGCAATGGGATGGGGGAGCAATGGGATGGGGGAGCAATGGGATGGGGGAGCAATGGGATGGGGGAGCAATGGGATGGGGGAGCAATGGGATGGGGGAGCAATGGGATGGGGGAGCAATGGGATGGGGGAGCAATGGGATGGGGGAGCAATGGGATGGGGGAGCAATGGGATGGGGGAGCAATGGGATGGGGGAGCAATGGGATGGGGGAGCAATGGGATGGGGGAGCAATGGGATGGGGGAGCAATGGGATGGGGGAGCAATGGGATGGGGGAGCAATGGGATGGGGGAGCAATGGGATGGGGGAGCAATGGGATGGGGGAGCAATGGGATGGGGGAGCAATGGGATGGGGGAGCAATGGGATGGGGGAGCAATGGGATGGGGGAGCAATGGGATGGGGGAGCAATGGGATGGGGGAGCAATGGGATGGGGGAGCAATGGGATGGGGGAGCAATGGGATGGGGGAGCAATGGGATGGGGGAGCAATGGGATGGGGGAGCAATGGGATGGGGGAGCAATGGGATGGGGGAGCAATGGGATGGGGGAGCAATGGGATGGGGGAGCAATGGGATGGGGGAGCAATGGGATGGGGAGCAATGGGATGGGGGAGCAATGGGATGGGGGAGCAATGGGATGGGGGAGCAATGGGATGGGGGAGCAATGGGATGGGGGAGCAATGGGATGGGGGAGCAATGGGATGGGGGAGCAATGGGATGGGGGAGCAATGGGATGGGGGAGCAATGGGATGGGGGAGCAATGGGATGGGGGAGCAATGGGATGGGGGAGCAATGGGATGGGGGAGCAATGGGATGGGGGAGCAATGGGATGGGGGAGCAATGGGATGGGGGAGCAATGGGATGGGGGAGCAATGGGATGGGGGAGCAATGGGATGGGGGAGCAATGGATGGGGGAGCAATGGGATGGGGGAGCAATGGGATGGGGGAGCAATGGGATGGGGGAGCAATGGGATGGGGGAGCAATGGGATGGGGGAGCAATGGGATGGGGGAGCAATGGGATGGGGGAGCAATGGGATGGGGGAGCAATGGGATGGGGGAGCAATGGGATGGGGGAGCAATGGGATGGGGGAGCAATGGGATGGGGGAGCAATGGGATGGGGGAGCAATGGGATGGGGGAGCAATGGGATGGGGGAGCAATGGGATGGGGGAGCAATGGGATGGGGGAGCAATGGGATGGGGGAGCAATGGGATGGGGGAGCAATGGGATGGGGGAGCAATGGGATGGGGGAGCAATGGGATGGGGGAGCAATGGGATGGGGAGCAATGGGATGGGGGAGCAATGGGATGGGGGAGCAATGGGATGGGGGAGCAATGGGATGGGGGAGCAATGGGATGGGGGAGCAATGGGATGGGGGAGCAATGGGATGGGGGAGCAATGGGATGGGGGAGCAATGGGATGGGGGAGCAATGGGATGGGGGAGCAATGGGATGGGGGAGCAATGGGATGGGGGAGCAATGGGATGGGGGAGCAATGGGATGGGGGAGCAATGGGATGGGGGAGCAATGGGATGGGGGAGCAATGGGATGGGGGAGCAATGGGATGGGGGAGCAATGGGATGGGGGAGCAATGGGATGGGGGAGCAATGGGATGGGGGAGCAATGGGATGGGGGAGCAATGGGATGGGGGAGCAATGGGATGGGGGAGCAATGGGATGGGGGAGCAATGGGATGGGGGAGCAATGGGATGGGGGAGCAATGGGATGGGGGAGCAATGGGATGGGGGAGCAATGGGATGGGGGAGCAATGGGATGGGGGAGCAATGGGATGGGGGAGCAATGGGATGGGGGAGCAATGGGATGGGGGAGCAATGGGATGGGGGAGCAATGGGATGGGGGAGCAATGGGATGGGGGAGCAATGGGATGGGGGAGCAATGGGATGGGGGAGCAATGGGATGGGGGAGCAATGGGATGGGGGAGCAATGGGATGGGGGAGCAATGGGATGGGGGAGCAATGGGATGGGGGAGCAATGGGATGGGGGAGCAATGGGATGGGGGAGCAATGGGATGGGGGAGCAATGGGATGGGGGAGCAATGGGATGGGGGAGCAATGGGATGGGGGAGCAATGGGATGGGGGAGCAATGGGATGGGGGAGCAATGGGATGGGGGAGCAATGGGATGGGGGAGCAATGGGATGGGGGAGCAATGGGATGGGGGAGCAATGGGATGGGGGAGCAATGGGATGGGGGAGCAATGGGATGGGGGAGCAATGGGATGGGGGAGCAATGGGATGGGGGAGCAATGGGATGGGGGAGCAATGGGATGGGGGAGCAATGGGATGGGGGAGCAATGGGATGGGGGAGCAATGGGATGGGGGAGCAATGGGATGGGGGAGCAATGGGATGGGGGAGCAATGGGATGGGGGAGCAATGGGATGGGGGAGCAATGGGATGGGGGAGCAATGGGATGGGGGAGCAATGGGATGGGGGAGCAATGGGATGGGGGAGCAATGGGATGGGGGAGCAATGGGATGGGGGAGCAATGGGATGGGGGAGCAATGGGATGGGGGAGCAATGGGATGGGGGAGCAATGGGATGGGGGAGCAATGGGATGGGGGAGCAATGGGATGGGGGAGCAATGGGATGGGGGAGCAATGGGATGGGGGAGCAATGGGATGGGGGAGCAATGGGATGGGGGAGCAATGGGATGGGGGAGCAATGGGATGGGGGAGCAATGGGATGGGGGAGCAATGGGATGGGGGAGCAATGGGATGGGGGAGCAATGGGATGGGGGAGCAATGGGATGGGGGAGCAATGGGATGGGGGAGCAATGGGATGGGGGAGCAATGGGATGGGGGAGCAATGGGATGGGGGAGCAATGGGATGGGGGAGCAATGGGATGGGGGAGCAATGGGATGGGGGAGCAAT